TGTACATGAAACAAAGCAATATTAAATGATTATTGCAGAGATGTTGACATAGAATGTTTGAAGATCACAAACATCAAAAAGTGGTACAAGGATAACTTCATTCACATGCAGCCTAAATAACAAAAACATAAACAACAAAATGGGTGAGGGTTCCAACATTGTTTCCATTCATATTAGAACAAGCAACAATAAATATATTTAAACCTATGAGGGAAAAGATGTTCATCAAAGATTTGTCCATACCAGTCACTCTCACATGCTTCCCTACCCTAAACTTCCAGATATCCTTGCTATAAATAAATATTTCAAGTAAAACTAAAAAGATTTTGAAAAGCAAACAGTAAAACAGAGAAAAGATTAAGTGATTGAATAAGTACGTGCCATTCTCCTTCTTCTCCACATGTGCGTCCACAAGTTCAATAGCTCATTAGTTCTGAGAGGCTTTACCAGGTAGTCAGCTGCTCCAAATTTCAGGCACTTGATAACAATAGAGACTTCATCTTGTGATGACATCACTACAAAAGAAAACGAAACAGTATATTTGACCACACTCATAAGTATATTTCGAGGTAGTGTGCAATTTACAGAAACTTAAGCTTACTGATCACTGGAATGCGTCGCAACTGCTTATCCCTCATAATGTACTTCAACATCTTAAATCCTTTAGACATAGGAAGGTCAACTTCTGAAAGGATGAGATCAATATGAGGTCCTTCTGCATTCAATGCATCAATCACCTGTCTGGGTGACCTCACTGATATCACTGCAATGCAACAATCATCACAATTAGTCATAGGATCATTAAAAAGCTGAGTCTAGTACTACTGTGTAGCAAGCAACTGAAGATTGAACTAACATCAGAAAACAAGAGTAACTTACTAACATCAACTCCTCTCAGTCACCCCTAATCCCCAATTTTTCCCTCTTAAGGCTTTCTTCCATTATACATTTTTCCTTTTTCTCCTTCATGTATTTCTTTTATTGTTTTTCTCCGGGTTTTGGGAGGGAATGGGAGGAGAAAAACTCTGGATATTGAACCTCTAACAAGTTGCAAAACTAAACTTCCCCCATATTCAAACAAAAATCTAGAGTAAAAACCTTGAAGACCAAGGTTCATATCCCAACAAAGGTGACACAAGGTGAATTTTTCTCATCTGCCTAGCAACCTAGCTACTTGCTGTGCTGATAAGAGGTGATCAGTTGAGGTGCAACCTAGCTAGCAGAGACACGTCGTTATCAAGTTATACAAATAAAATTAAAACTCTGCAATAAGTTAAAGAGAAGAAATCTTCTATTGCTATCATAATGGATCATAGGTTATTCGAAAATGAATAGAATTTGTGGGAGAACTACAACGCTTTGTGAAGCTTACTATGCTCTAAAACATAACTCATCCCAGAAATATATTATTTGAGAATTTTAAGTATATCCTTTGGAAATTGTCCCTATGCAATGCGTAAACAATTGCACTGACTGACTAAGACCCAAAATGCACCACATTCCTACGTTGACGACCCATTGGATTCGAATAGAAAGAACACTTATTCCCCCTAAAATGACAAAAGACAGGCCGATGGGAGAAGGAACAAAATACATGGAAAATAATCTCACGCTTCAAACTTAAATTCAAGTCAAAGAAATCATACTCTGAAGAGTGCTTAAAACTCTTTGACACCCGAAGTTGAAGTATCCTACTTTCACGCAATTCAAAGGGGGCTATTTTTTAAACAAATAATGCAAAGTGACAAAGTCAAAAGATGCATTAACAAAAGAAGGCAAGCTCAAGCAAATGATATCAATTAGCAATCTGAATTTTATCACATAAAAACCAATTCAGAAACTACAAACACCACAATGTGAATTAATCATAAGAATTGGATATTACCTTGATAAGAACATTTGCACAAGAGCGTAAAAACTTCCTCCGAGCTTTTGGCATCGTTATCACACAGCAAAATCCTAACTTTACTCCTGTCAATAAACCCATCCCCTGTCCTCACAGTCTCATTCTTCTCCATAACCACCACACAAAAAATTAGGGTTCTAATACAACCCTAGCTCTCCCAAAACTGTTATTGGAGAACTTCCATTACTATTACTTCCCGCTCCACTACAGGGATAAAAAAAACTACCATAATTAAAGTTATGGCTGCCAGATCAGCACAGCATCATCTTGCTGATCACGTAGTCATCCAATCCAATTCATTTAGCAACCAACCGTTACGCTGAGCACGGTACAACAAGAAAGCAGAGCAATCAATCTAGAAACTTCGGCTATTTCTGTTTCATCAAGTCCCCAGCAGCCGCCGACCGATATATACCGGTCGGAACTCGGAATCACCAATCAAAATAAACGTAAAAATATCCCCGTTGACGGACCGATCGGCGCACTTTAGCATGTAATCCTCCGGTAACTCTGTTTCACTAATATAGGAGATATTGGATTCCACTGTCGCCAAAAAAAAAAACGTCGCCGGCAGAATCAGGCGCAAGTTAGCAAAGTACGGTGCACGGTAGCAATGTAATTTTTCTGCTACTCAGTGAGTTTTCCTATCTTATTAAGCAATAAACAAGTCCATGGTCGGTCAGAAAAAGGATTAGTCTTTAGGTGGAATTTGGTGTCGTCTGGCTAATAGCATTAATTGTCAAAATGATCTTTCTGTGGACAAAGTATTTTAAAATCTACGATATAAAATAATATTAATTATTTATATGGTGATAAATTATTTTATTAAAAATAATATAAATTTTTTAAAATTAAATCAATTTTAATTAGAGAGGAAAACTAATGGCACTTTTGAGCTACAACGGTGAACGCTAATGTGCGCCGCCTCGGCGTACAAGAAACAAGATTGAAAAATAGTAGTAGAACTGAATAGTAAGTGGAAGGTGGGTTAGGAAAGGGACAAGGTATAAAATGAAATGGATAATTGCGTTTTGAATCCACTAATTATTACTAATGTTTAATTTAAATTTGAGTTTATTTTTTAAATTGACTAGAAAGAATAAGATATTACACGGTTAACATGTGATAATCATTAACTATCTTATTTAGCAGATTATAGATTATAAAAAATTTCCTTTAATATATAGCTTACTTATTCACTTTTACTTGTCAGATTTGAATTTGATACACTCATTAACATTGTTATTTATCATATTACATTTATTAATTGATGGTTAAGTCACAAAAATTAAAAATAATTTAGAAAATAAGTGATTTTTTAAATTTTGGTTTCTCACCTGTGTTTGGTATGTGCATTGGAGTTCTTGATTATTTCGGAATCGCGCCACATAGGATCCCATTCTGAGGGAAGCGCTCCCTATCCAATGCCTACTATTGTGGATTCGTGTCGCATAGAGTCCCATAACGAGCTAAGCTTTCCTACCAAAGATTATTTCATATCCAAAACTTGAACTCGAAACCTTCAATTAAGGAAGGAACAGTTTCATTAGTTGTAGCACATTCTATGGTGGTGAAAATAAGTGATTCATATTCAAGATAAAACATGAAAAAATAATTTTTTTCTTAATATATTAAAAATAACATACAAAAATACAAATTTATTTTTGGAAGGATAAACAAATAAAAGTAAACAGGCATAAGTAAATTCGGATTAGGAATTAAAAAATATACTCCCTCAGTCTCGGTATATGATATTTTTCAGATTTTGAGATTCAAATTGATAGTAAGTTTTTCACAAATCTTTTGAATTATTAATTGTTGTGACTTATAATACATTTTACATAGTTTATAAATATATAAATTTTATTTTTAAAAAATAAAAATTTTGTGCATAAATTTTTGATCAAACTTAAACTATTTAACTGTTAAAAATAAAAGCATGAGATAAATTTTGATAACGAAAATAATATTGAGGCGGCGCTTCTAAAAATGGGTCGGCGGTGGTGGGTACCGATGGTGAAAAGAAGGGTTGATTATGAAAAGGAGTGGAGTTGACTATACGATTAAAAGCCGACACGTGAGCGGCAACAAATATCTATATCTTTTCTTATTGGTTTAATTTTGTTGGAGTAAAACTAAAAAACCGTCCTTTTTCCCTTTTATTGACACGTCTCCCCACTTTCTTTTTCCAACTGTTTTTTAGCTAAATATCTTCTCCATCGTCTTGTTGCAACGAATTTTATTCTTGTTTATTTTTTATTTTTTTTGAAAAAAAATAATATGAAATAGTTTGTTTGTACTTTGTAGTAAAATGAAAAATTCTCTTATTATAAGAGTCACAAATAAAATAGTTATATATAAAATTATTAAGTAAGTATATAGTATGCATATGTTGATATTGGCATAAACATGATTGTTATTTTCTGATGGAAACAAAATTAGATATTTCTGTATAGTCACATGTATAAACAAGTCAGCTATGTTCAAAACCTTTTTGGATTTCATTTTGTCAACTGTAGTACTCATTAAAACTTGTGCAATTATAATCTATCTTGCTCGGACCCTCAAACTCGTGTTGAATCTTGCATGAATGGAAGATCTGTCACACACACATTACAATAGTTTTAACAAGTCTGAGCAACATAACTTATAACACCATTTTTTTTCTTATTTACATTCCCAGCTTCACTCAGAGCAAGAAAGAATAAGCATTAACAAGAAGCAACAGACAGTGTCCTTTATTATCAACCAATTGTGGAAGATGTTGAGAAACTAATACAGAACATTATATTGTTAATTTCCTTGACTTGGTAATAATATTATTATGCTTAAGGAATAATACAGTAATATAACACATTTAACATCACTAAGAGAATCTCATTAATATACTAAGTGTGATGAGCCTTTTCTCTTCATGTGTGTCCATAGTTTCATTAGCTCATTACTGCTCAATGGTTTGACAAGAAAATCTGTTGCTCCAACCATCAAACCCTTCAAGACTAGACGAATCTCGTCTTCATCCAACATCACTTCCACACACAAAATGAAATGAGACGTTAGATGAAAAGAAAGGATACCTTGTACATGATTTCTACTATTCTGAGTAGAAAAATAAAATGGAAAAGAGCACTGGAATCTGTTTTAAATTGATGTCCGGCTTGATGAAATTGAAAATCTTTGCGCCATTGGAAATAAGAAGGGAGGCTTCAGTTAGTATGATGTCTATACAATGCCCGTGAGAGTTCAGTGCATCTAACGCATCTGCTGCTGAATACACTGGGGTAACTGTACAGCAAGAAGCAAAAATAGAAAGTGAAAAAGTCTCAATGTAAAAGAGACGAAAGAAGAAGAAAAACAAGATTTCTTGATCATTGAGTGGAGCATTTAAAATGATGCATTAATCTTCTTTTAAGCAAATAGAGTGAAGATTCCTTGACACAAGAACTCACAATCATGAATTTATATGACGTCCTCCTCTCAAGTTTTAAGAGATAGCAAGACAGTAACGAAAAATCATTTCTCTAGGATGAGACTTTTCCTTAATGTTATAGCTAGCTAGGCTAGTTGCTGTTGAATCATGTCACTTACCTAATGACAAGCTTTAATTAGGAAATTTCTCTGTTCCCGTAGGGGAATTAATTTGGTTAATCGTGTATTATTTATGCAGACATTCCATAATACAGGAAAGGGAAAAAGTGGCTCAATATTATCCCACTTAACATGTCGTGATGGGAGTTTCATACCTAATCTAATACTTTCCCAAAATGGAAAATATAACAGAATGATTTAGAAAAGCAATGTAGGAAACAACAATAATAATGTATATAATTTTGCATTATAGTATAGGGTGCCAATGATTATTAGGAAGCAATTGAGCATCTTATTTTCGCCATGATTTCATATAGAATAAGGTATTGGCAGAAGTATTACCCTGGTAACAACATTTCTTTAGAAGGGCCAACACTTCCTGACAACTCTCAACATCAGTGTCACAAAGAAGAACCCTCACACTGCTCAAATCCATCAGATCATTGGTCATAACTTGATCTCTGTTACAACCATTTTCACTTACAATAATGCTCTCACCCGTGTCCATTGACACTAGTCACTCGAGAGTTTGGAAGAAGTAGTTACTGTATAATCTGGCAACGAGGACTCTCAATATTCTATCGAAACTATGTTTGTTATATACATGAGTTATATCCAACAGGTAGTTTGGTATACCAAATTTATAAAGCAGGCCTAACCTCTAGTTGGCTATATGTGTTTGTCCCGTGTGCTGCATTTGTTTGAAAGAAATTTAGGATTAGCCAAAATTAGCAGAAAGGAAAACTAGAGTGGTTTTTCTAATTCCATTTGCGGTTTGTGTAACTGCAATTTCTTTCCCTTCGTAGCAAATCTGAAGAAGAAGAACCCTCATACTCTCAGCCACTAATGTTCATACTCATCGCTTATCAAAGATGGAGGTTCTCTAAGGAGATTGATTATATGCATCTATAACAGCAAACGAGTTGAGATATTGCTGATCAGCAAGAACAGAGTTTAGTAGTTATGATTGTCATGATCACCACGGAAAAAAGTTTGGCCAGAGCTTCTCACAGCACACAAGTTTTTAGCAACGGGGACCATTTAGAAGTCACATCATCACATGTGTTAGTTTATGCATGGTAGGAAGGGAGAAGTCAGTCAGCTTTCCTTCTGAAAGCACAAATTCCTCTTTGGCACCAAACAAAAACAAAAGCAATGCAAAAGATAGCGCCACCAATCTACTCATTTTTTCGTCAGCTTCACGTGTTGGAGAAAATCGAAATACTTATCTTTGGATCACATAACCAATTTGAAATCCAATGAAAGACAATATAATCAACTGTTCTAGTGAAGCAAACGTATCTGTGAAAAATCATACACTTACTTTACTACTAATGTTGTGGACACTGGGGGAGGGAACTTTTGAGGATTGACTTCGTGATCACGAATTAGAAACACTTCGACTGATTTTCTGATTAGCAGAAACATGTGTATGTACTTTTCCAGGTACAAACTGCATCATAATTCATCGTTGCACCTAAAAACATAAGATGATGTCATAAGCACAAACACTATCAAACTACATATGCAACAATGCTTAAATTTCATCATGTTGTTCGTTATATGAAACTTCACTTGACCATGTCCTTACATTTATGGTAGCAACAACACGCAAGAAAAGAACAAGTAGAAGCAAAATCATTTTTGTTCTTCCAAACCACCCAAGGTTGTGGCCCGGTGGTCAATAAAGTTGGTTAAGAAATCTCATGTTCAAAACATTAGGTGATTTCTTTCGATTACCTGATGCCTATTGCTAGTGGGAGGTAACACGTATCTAATGGAATTAGTTGAAAAGGTTATCAAAAAAGAAAAAAAAATGTTTCTGGTTTATAACAAAATGAAATTAAGCAGAATCATTTGTACATCTATGAATAAAGAGAGAGCTAAGCTTACTTTAAATGAACATGCTAGAATAGCCTATATTTGGTTGACAGATAATGAGGTGTTGCCCTTAATTTTCTCGAGCAATTCTCACCTCATGATCTGAGCTTTTGAGTCGAGTTAGACTCAAAGTCCATTTTGTTTACATGTATAAGAGATATACCCATCATTATTCTCGATTTACCCAATATTGATCATGTTGTCCACGCTCCAAATATCTAACCTATCTCTAATCCCATGAATTTGGAATTTCAAAAGTTTTTCGATACCTTCTAGTTGTTTTGAACTATGAGAATGAATCGAAAGAAATGTGTAGTTTGATGAAGTGAGAAAACTGTAGTTCAAAATTGTTTGGGGTGTTTGTTTCATTGTTTAATATAAAAAGATTAATTATTTTATTACGGACATCATATTTCAAATATTGTCTAAAAGAGTGGCTAGCATCATTAGCAGAAGAAGTACTAAAAGCAGAACAAGTAATGGAGATGTAGAGATGGAATCAGCAATGTCAAAGTATTCTTCTCAGAACTTGAAAACCCTTTTCCGCATAAAGTCACCAGTCATTTCAAGAACCATTGTAGCGTTGCCATTTTCAACTTCCCCTTCTTCATCTGCCGCAATTCTCAATGCCAAGACCTGTAGCGAAGCCATGCGGCTTTTCAATTCAACAATCTTAAGAACAGACCCAACAAAGGATCTTACATTACACTCAGCCATTATTCATTATTTAACCCGAGCAAGATTGTATCTTGACGCCAGGTGTTTGATAAAACGACTCATTGAAAATCTTAGAAAAAACAGCAACCCCAGAAAGGTTTGTTCTTTAATTTTCAATGATCTTGGTAAAATAGACTCTGGGTCTAGCTGTAATGTGTTTGGGGTGTTGATTATTGCGTTATCTGAAATGGGTTTTGTTGATGACGCTTACTGGGTGTACCAAAAGATGGGAAAGTTACCTCCTTTGCATGCTTGTAATGCTCTTTTACATGGGTATGTAGAAATGGGTAAGTTTGAATTCATGTGGGATGTTTATAGGGATATGCTATCCTTTGGGTTATGTCCTAGTGTAGTGACATATGGAGTATTGATTGATGCATGCTGTCTGAAAGGTGAGATTTTGAAAGCTAAAACACTATATGATGAGATGGTTGAGAAAGGGATTCAAACAAATGTTGTGACATACACCACTCTGATACGTGGGCTTTGCAATCAGAATAAGATACAGGAAGCTGAAAGCATGTTCAGCAAAATGTGGGAGATGGGAGTTATGCCTAATCTTTGCACTTATAATACTCTAATGGATGGCTATAGCAAAAAGGCTGATACTGGAAGAGCCTTTCAACTTTATCAAAAAATGTTGAAGCATGGAATTCTTCCAAATGTTGTTACTTTTGGTACCTTGATCGACCCGCTTTGCAAAGTGGGTGAAGTAATAACAGCAAGAAATTTATTAGCATGTATGGTAAAGTTTGGGGTAGGTCCCAATTTACTTATCTATAATTGTCTGATTGATGGCTGTTGCAATTGGTATGATATGTCAACTGCACTAGAGATGCATTCTGAGATGGAAAAGCTTGGTATTTCTCCAGATGTTGTGACTTATGGTACACTGATAAAGGGTTATTGTAAGCTGGGGAAAGTGGATGAAGCTGAGAGGTTTTTGCTGAAAATGGACGCAACAGGGGTGGTCGTGAACTCTGTGATTTATAATCAGCTGATTGATAGGTATTGCAAGGATAGAAATATGGAGAAGGCTTTGGCATTGTGTTCTCAGATGATAGAGAAAGGTGTCCAGCCCAATGTAGTCACTTTCTCTATATTGATAGATGGTTTTGGTAAGATAGGGGATCTAGAAGCTGCAATGGGTGTCTATACTGAAATGATTATTAAAGGCTTGAAGCCTGATGTGGTTGTTTATACAGCGCTGATTGATGGTCATTTCAAAATGGGAAACACAAAAGCTGCTCTAAGGCTACATAAGGAGATGGTGGAGGCTGGAGTTGCTCCTAACGCTTTGACTTTTACTTGTTTGGTTGATGGATTTCTCAAGAATGGAATGATTAGTGACGCAATCAATTTTTTCTTGAAAATAAGCAGTTCTGGATCTACAGGAGTCGAAGTAGACAGCATTAATGGTGTTCTTTCTTTCCCTAACAATGTTACTTATTCTGCGTTAATCCATGGTCTATGCAAAGATGGGCAGTATTTCAAAGCCAATAAGTTTTTCATGGATCTACGACGCAATGGTCTGTATCCAGATTTATCCACTTATGCCATGATGATACAACGTCATTTCGAGGCCAGGCACATAACTCGTGTCATGATGCTAAAGGCAGATATGTTAAAGACTGGTTTTATGCCTAATCTTTTCATGTACAAAATCTTGCTCAAGGGCTACCAAGACATGGTTGATCTCAGTTCAACTCGTAAGTGTTATGAGGAATTAAAAGATTCAGGTCTAGTTTGTTCTGGAGCATCTCTAATGCAAAACCTCCAGGATCATGTACATAGCAGTTACTAATTCTTATGTTAAGAGGCATCGTTATCTGTAAAATTCAGTATCTTCTGAGTAGCACGAGCCTTTTGAGTTGTGCTGATTATAGATGAATATCTCTGGGGAGCTATCGATTTTGCAGTTATGGAAAAGAGTGAAGAGCAACTGAAGTGAGCAACCTCAGACTTCTTGATTGGAGGAGCATCACTAAGGCTCAAGTGTACCCTCGGATTACAACTGTAGCAAAACTTTGGAATATGCAAAATTTCATAGTTTTCAATGGCCATTATCCTGCAGATGCTATGGCAGGGGATGACTGTGGAGAGGCTGGATCTGATATTGAATGAGTTGTCCGAAATCTGATGATATGGAATAGTATGCACAACCAATAAGAGGCAGGAAACGCGGAATCCCATTTCACTACAGGCACATGTTCGCGAGCCTCCTGGCCTAAATTGTTCTAGCATCAAGTTTTTGGTCTTAGAATCAAGGAGAAAAACATAGATCTTGATGATACAACTTCATAACTGCAAAAAGTGCCAAGGCATTGTAAGTTCAAATAGATACAACTCTTATTCGAGTCTGCAGCTAGAGCTGATTTTGAAGCTAAGCGCGCGCAGATGTAAATTACTTGATACTTCCATTCATGTTTCTTTGGATTGGAGTTCTTTGAGAGAGCTTCTAATATCTGTTTGAATAAACTCTGGTTCCTCTTCTAGTTGCCTAGTTTCACATAGTATATACATACAGATTCAAGTCCCACAAAAGAAAAAAGATTAAAACGACTTTATCCAATCTTAACTAACTAATTATAATCATAACTCTCTATAATAATCCTCTATAATATATTTCATTATATTATATGTTTCTATGCAGCCAAAAAATATAGTTATAAAAAAGTTTGACGGTAATTTCTTAGTTTCTTATGAACTATGTTACACTACACTCTGATAACATGGGGAAAAAAACTTTAAGCTATCATTATATATGAGTCAGAGCATTTTCTCATAACGTTTATCAAATTGGGGATGGATATTACTCATTATACTATGAATTTAATTGGTTTTTGATGAGGTCAATGTCGACATAACGATATGTAGTAGGGAACACGTGAGAATGTTTGATAACATATTTTATTAAACCCAATAATATTTTAGTGTTTAAATATATGGAGAATTGTTTGACGTGAGCCCTTATGATTGGTAGAAAATTCTACAAAATAAAAAATGCAGACACAAGTGATCATGACCTTAGTTTGTTAATCCCTTGGGGACAAACATATCGTTTTAGTATTTTATATGATAATTAAAGTGGATATTCATGTGATTTCATTTTAAAATTCACCTATCTTTTGCTCGAATTTTAGGTTAAATCGTAGGAAGATTTCGAGATATTTAAATAAAATAAAATAATAAACGTTATAGATTCCAAAATTCAAATCTTGAAATCTATATATAGTAGTAAAAGAACAGCATATCGACAAATTTTGTTCATTATCTTAGGATTAATGTATGTAACGTGCACTTCTCAATTATATTTATCATATATATATATGTGGTGACATCGGGAGGTTAACTTTTTTCAATAATAAATATGGTTACTTTTGGCAAAATTGATATGTAGATTAATTGTTGGTAGTAAACAAGCAAAATATATACTCCACATCCCAAAAAGAGACTATTTTCTTGTTAGTCCGTTAATTCCTAAAGAATTATTTTTTAAAGTTAAAAATTATTTAACTTTATCTTCTCATTTTACATCTGATGACAAATGCATCAAATTTTATAGTCGTACAAAAATGGTATGACACGTTTGTGACCACACGTTTCAAAAGATTTATAATCACATGAATATTATGACATATTTAAACATCAAGTTTTAATGTTTTCTTTCTTTTTTTCCTGAATGTCATACTCAGTCAAATTAACGTCATACGAATTGAAATGAAAGGAATATTCCATTGTTTAGGGACATCAATGCATATTCTATAAGAATTTAGTATATGTTTGATTGAAATGGATTTTTTGTTAGTAATATAGTATTATTTCTTTTTGTATGTACCTCA